TTATTGCAGGCTGGCACTGCCACTAAATTTTCATTTCCAGGAATTCTTCAATATTGGGTTGTGCCACGTGTTTATGTCAAATTCAGATTGTTTTATGTTTTCATTTGGCAGTTCAGTGAAGATATCAGAGCCAATTCAAATCAAAAACACGAGCAGAATATTTTTTGAAGGTAATCAATGTTTAAATAGATATATACTTACACTGAGTGTCCTCTGGGCCCTAGTTTATTTGGAACTAATGTTTTTTTAGATAAAATACTGTTAACTTTCTTTAAATCTGAATTCTCTACGGCTTTTAACAATTTCTCATCATTTTTATTCCATGTAGATAACTGAAAAAATATTACATAAGAGATTTATATAGCAAGCTCAACATTCTATAGCACCATCACTAATTCAGCTGAATGAAGACTAAAAACACCTATAAAATACGGAATGACGGAAGGTTTGAAAGATTTAGTTGCTTTGCTGGCAGCACCTGCATCAATACTCAATATTTCAATGAAATCTTTTGACTCAGGGAATCAAGAGCTTAAAGAAATTTAGGTTGACGAATGATCTCATCTTCTGTGAGTTGGATGCCGAGTTGACAAACCAATGGAATTAGGTGTTCTGGAAGAGTGGGCGTGTCCCGCCTTATCAGCAATACCTGCCACAATACCTATCATATGGAGCTTCGACTTACATCTGTGGTACTTTTGGTTCTAAATTTGAGTAACTTTTTGGCTCGGAAGCGATTCATCTTGAAGCTATATTAGGAAGTAGATATGTAGATATATTATGCAGTTCTGAGGTTTTTTCTTGTTAATCATGAGTTGGTCATTTCTGTAAGGAAAAAAATATCAGTCTTTTATTTTGATATTAATGATAAGAAAATTGGTGTTTGATAATACGCTCTCGATAATGCTGATGTTAATTATGACGTGGACTGAAATGATGAAAACTTTTTTGAGCGTATTTTTGTAATGACATAGGACTATTTTTCAATATTAATACGATAACACTTTTATATGCAATCTGATTATAATTATACGCGATACTAATATTTCTTGTTATAAGCTTTAGATATAGTTAGTTTCTTAATTAATGATGGATTTTAATCAATGATGTACAACATAATATATATTAAAACTCAGTAATTAGTGATATTGATATACCCTAATTATTAGTCAGTGCATTTATGTTTAATTAAATATTCAGAATATTTGCATCTAATTATTGATTTTGTATATTTCTCCGAAATATTTAAATATGTTTTCATACATGCTTTAAGAGACAATCGACCTCCGTTCCTGTGATCCAACTTATTTTAAAAGAATGTCAACATTTTCCTAAAAAAATTATCCTGGTCTTTTCCAGAAGAAATATAGAATTTCCCCTTTTCTCTCCTAAACTAATGAAAAATATTCTTACACTGGAGGATGACATGTTCGAAATTTCCCACTCTTGAAACGTATCGATATGTAATAACCCCCCCCCCCCCCCTTCTCAATTTTAAACCTTAATATATATAAATAAGCATTTGATAAAGACTGAGTCATTCTATATGATAAAAAGAAAAGTATATTGTGTTACTTCTCACAAACTAAAATGATAAATGGCATTTCCTTTCTTTTTTCCTGTTGTTCTAAAATTATTTCCTCATCATCTTAATCATTCATGTAATAATTCATTATGCCATCAGAAAAAAGTCATTTTAAAAAAAATGACAAATTTCTTATCCTTATTACTGATGAAAATCAGCAACAGTCAAGAAATTTCTGTCAAAAAAAGATCCACTGTTTTGCTAATATTATTGTTATATTTTTATGCATTACAGAGGGTTTCAGCCTTTCTCTTTCTATCACCTCTTTAAGGATCCTTGATCGATTGCAGTACCCCTTTCCCCTATAAATCCTTACTTTTTCATGATTTTCTCTTAGGTTTTCCCTGCAATATTTATCATGTTGTAGAAATATAGCCTGACTGAGGCTAGCCTGATTGACTTTTATTATATTTGTCCACAAATTTTATGTTACACTACATTACAATCACCTCTTTACTACCCCTTCCCAACAAAATTTCAAAATTACCCCAACATTGAAAATCTCTGATGTATTATGATACTAATTTTTATCATCGTTACAAGTACTATTCACACCTTCATTCATTCATTCTAATTTCTCAATGAATTTCATTTATGAGAATGGGTAATATCCTGCGTTCACAGTGGACCCAATATTGTTTCACTCATGACAGAGTAAACATTGGGAAGGGAGTCTATAACCCCTTTCACTTTACAACAATTAACCATTCTCAAAGAGAACAGAAGATACATTCTGAGTAGTTTAAACAGGCAAGCATTCTGAGTAGTTTAAACAGGCAAGCATTCTGAGTAGTTTAAACAGGCCAGCATTCTGAGAATCATTTGGTCTCAGAAAGGTACTGAGAACAGATTTGATAACTCAGTATTATGTATATGAAAAGTGGGCCTAGAACACTTCAATTTAAAAACTATTCTCTTGATTTACTGTTATGTAAATGGGCATATCTTATATCTTGTGGCCCTGGTAAAACTAAGAATCCTTGTGGGGATGTTACATCCCAAAGCATAAGGTAACTCTTGTCAACTAGATAGCTTACAGTGGACCCTTGGTTTGTAAATATTGGCATTTAAACCAAGTGAAACAGATGTATTGAACAAAACTAGGGGCATATATTGAAACCACATTATCAATATTTTACAAGGAAAAACTAACAGTATTTGATTTAACAATTTAACATTCTATATTCTATATTCTAGACTGTTTTATAATAAGTCCTACTCTGCAATTTATGGTATTTCAATTACTCATATACTACTGTGACACCTAACACTTAGTAATTGTGACACATCAAAAACAATGGTTTTGACATGGGGTTTTGGCATTTATTTCATATAAAATATGCCTATTTAAAAATATTAGGCCAAAATCTTCACATTAAACCGCTATAAGAGAATATCAAGATATCAATAGGAAAGTTATAAGAATATACAATTATAGTAATAAACAGCAGATAGATTTGACTTCTCCCCAACTGACAGGTGAGGTGACAACACCAACTGTAGATTAATATTGACATCATCAATGAATATCAGCCATAACGCCCGGGCAATATCACTATGATATATCACGTTTAATACACAATTAATATCAATATGTAAATATACGAACCTGTTACATGTTCACGCTGTATAATCAATTAATATTCCATATTTATCCTTGAATATCCAAACTCGAGCATAAACCTTGAATTTTGCGCATGATACCTGTCGCTTTTCCGGTCAAAATACCTTCCGTTATGGGGCTAAAAATACCTAACCCAATAACGTTATTTGGGTGAGATTATCAAGCCGCCTTGTTAAACGTCTGTAGAGATAAGGACTTGATAATCGGATATGAACTACCTGTACTGTTAGTTTTAAGATAAACGGTTGATTTATTATTCAGATTGAGTGACAAAGGTGATCAGTATTCACTGGTCATTGCGTAATGTTAGTATACGGCTATCTGATTGAATGATTACCTTAATTAAAATCCCCTTTATTTAATTAGGTTAAGTTTATGGGTCGGGAAAATCCAATAGATCTTATGAACTGAACGTTACTTATTTGATAATGAAGTTTTTTTGATAAAACTTTTCGTCTGAGACTATGAAAAAGTTTACTTCTTCCCTCATATGACTTTGACCAAAAACTGTGTGATGTATATTGCACTTGCGTTTTGCTAAATTATGATATAACGGTTAATGTATGGTCGTATTCAACTCGACTATGTTCATACAGAGAAATAAAGACAAAGGAACATTCCAAGGGATAGGTTTGGTTTGTCAGGCCCCTAATAACTCTGAACTTGTTGACCCTAACTGGACAATACATGCTGTAAAGCGTGAAAAGAGGATTTTGGAGAACGCCTTGACCATACGTGGTTAATAAAAGGACAGACATTATACGCTTAGGGCAACTCGAAAAATAGTTGTATATTAGTAAATGCAATTGTCTACTCCGTACTGTTCTCCGTCTTAAGCCCAATTAGATGTAGAAAAATTAACACGTAAAATTAAATTCAATAGCATGTAAAGTATTTTGCCGGTGATGTAACCTATAAAAAACCACTTGCAGCATATTATTTAAGTTACTCTTTCTAATTTCTTAAAAATAGCATCAATCAATAGCTTTTACCTAAAATATGGTAAAAATCGAAAGTTGTTACCCTTTTAAAGTTAACTTCTAATTTGACTTGATAATTATCAAAATGTTATTAAAATCGATTCATGTAGAAAATGCGGAAGGCGTAAAAATCAAGCCTATTGATTTACTTGTGGCAATTTGCCAAATATCTAAGAAAAGAAGGATTGGAATTTCTTTTCAAATTTTTCTAAAGAGTTTTCTGTAAAAGTATTTGTTTCTTTAGTGTATTTGAAGTTGAAATCGTGCATTTGTAGATATTATTTGAGAAAAAGCACGTGTAAAATGCGTATTATAATGGTAGCGGGAATATTGAGCGGTATAACGGTTCTTATAACTCATATCTTATAGTTATATCTCACGAGCAACTATTCTGTGCTGCTGCCACACGCGCTTAGTTCTCAATATTACACACGGAGCATGCGCATATAGAATATTTTCACGACAATATCGGCCTGGCTTCATTTCTTACTTTCTACTAGTGAGATAGTGACAAGTTATCAACTACTAGCCGCTATATTGTACTACAACTTTCACCATAACATGCAGGCTGCATAAATACACCCGGTTTATTGCATCACGATGGAAAATGGTTGAAGAAAATACTGCAGCAGTCAACTGCCCGATGTGTAATATACAGAAACGTTGTGTTGTTTGACGTAGAATATCTATAGGATATCTCTAGCAGGAAATATATTCCGTAGATATATATATAATCAAATTGTGTCGGAATAATTTAGTAAGGTGGCTTCCTGTAAGTCTGCTGGATCGGTTGGAAGGATAAACCCCAAACATGAATGGCTACCAAAATGTTCTGCGAGTAACTATAATGGGGCTGGTCATCCTGGAAGTGACAGTAGCCAATCCATTTTATACCGATAAATGGGCAGTACATGTGGAGGGTGGGGAGAGAGTCGCTCGATCTCTGGCAGACAAATATGGATTTGTGTATTTGGATCAGGTAGGTCTTTAAATTTTTTAAGAAATTTCCGAATATAATTCACGTTTTGACTATGGAACAAAGGAGTAATATGAAAGAAATTGAGAGATTTTCTTCAAAGGAAACAGAAATCTCCAATTGTCTTGACAGTAAACGAAGCCGATGCCCTGAACAAAGACAATTAGCAGGTTGTTTAAAGATTGTCGCATGGAGTGCCAAATATAACATTTAGAGAAGCTATTGTATAGTAGTACAATGTAGTACAAATTAGTAAGATACTGGTAGAAATGATTAGTATTGTTATAGATTAACCTTGTAATATGAGGGCGGTATTAGTAATAGAAGGTAATTTATGTTGGAGTCTTGAATAGAACATAATAATAACAGCCTTGATATATAGATATTACTTCAATATCTTTATATTTCATATACTGCCAAATACATAGTACATATACCCTACAATAATATAATATTTTCACTAAAAATAATGCTCAATATCAATTGTAGAGGCTTATAGAAATATTTCTAGTACATACATGTTATTGAAAAGGAATTGATTGGAATTTTGAATAAATGAACATACTTTAATAGCATTTTATTTCATATACTGCTGTCATATACCACACCATGACTATTGGGTTCAGTTAAATTTTTTTTATAGAAATATTAGCATTAACAGTATAACAATCCTATAATTTTCCTTAAATATATAGGAACTCAAATTTACATTTTTGAAATTGAAATAATATTCTTAATTATTGCTTCAATATCATTCTTTTTCACATAATGTTAAACAATACACCAGTTAATATTTTTTATGGGATTTTGTTATTCCATGATAATGGATATATATTTTATTAATATCAGAGGAACATTTCAATAAATATGAGCAGAAAGATAGAATCTAGTAATATTACTTTAAACAAAGATTTTATCTCAGGTTTAAAGTCAGAATCAGCAAATTTTCATTAAAATTGGGTGTGAAGAGGAATACAATTTAAGAAACGAGAAGTAATTGTTGAATTTGAGAGAATCCATTCCTTTTTTGTCGAAAAACCTTAATTATTTTTTTAAACGAAGACGGTAGGCCTATTTCTCGTTGTAAATTTTCAATTTTTTATTGTTAGATTTTTTTGAGAACTGCGCTTTAGTTCCTTTGTCAAATATTAGTCATTTATTAATTGACAGTGTTGGGAATTTGCGTATTGAAAATATTAGTTTATCATATAGATGAGAAATTTTGATAATTCATCCCTGGTGACTGACTGTTTCCTTATACATGTATTGATTTTGAGTCACTATGATGGTTTGTCATGATACAGAATGCCTAGTCCGACTAATTAGACAACTTAATTAGATTTCTCTAACCATCAATTATAAATTAGGCCTCACATCAAAGAAGTTTTTTTGTTGTTGTATTCCATGTATCATCGATTGATTCTTTATTCGTGTCAAATGTGCATGATTCCACATTTCAGATAATGCATTAATGATGCCAATTGAATAAAAGGAAGACAGTACACCCTTAGACGTCAGAACCTATCACTTCATTGGTTTAGTAGATTAATAATAGCTTTACCCTTTGATTGACAATTGGGAGAATATACCAGCAATAAGTTTTTATAAGCATTATGAGGACACTTGTGTGTGGATTTGAGCTTTATATCAATATAAGCATTATATATATTATTTATTATTTATGTAAAACTTTTTAAGTTTAATTTCCATCCTGTTTCTGCTATATATCTACTTGTTCTGTTTTTATTTGGGCCTACAGTCCTAGTCTTACCGAGCCCCTTTTGAAAACTATGCTTAGAATTCTAATGATAGGGGGAATATACCAGCATGTTAAATTTTTTTAAAGTTTATTTCCATCCTGTTTCTGCCACTTCAATCTGCTTGAGCTGGAGCTTTAGTTTCCCTAACCACTGTTCATCACCCATGCTTAAAATACCAATGACTCAAATCAAATAGAATCTTATCCTTCTATTGTGATACTGACTAATGACTGACTCTTGACTTTGATTGAGTAAAAATCATTAAAAAAATTAACGAGGTTGAGTTGTTTACTGTGAGAATAGACCAAGCCTAATCTCTAAATAAATAGAGACAATATGATAAGAACTAAGGTATAAACTGTTTGTTGACATAATTTATTGATAATTATATTTATAATATACTGTTCTCTGTAATAATATGTAATAATATTTGGGCATAAACTTTAGCCCCTTTTGTACCAGGCCACAAAAAAGCATTCACTGGACAAGGCAGTGATAAAATTTGCCAATTTACATAACAGTAACATCTAAATGGAATAGTTTTCAAATACTGTACACAGCACACTTTTCTGTAGAACTCTTCGTTGTGAAGTTAAAATTAGTCCTTGTGGTCACCCATGGAGAAATGCGAATGGACTAGAATAATGTGTAATAATGGAAAAAAGACCTATCAATATATAACTATTAAAAAAAAACAAGTGCTAACAATCAGAACTGCAAAACAAAGCTCAAATCCTAAATAACAGTTTGAGAATACACTCATAGCAGCTATGATGAAATTTGGAAATTTCAATTTCCCTAATATTGATCCACACAAAATCTCCAATCTATAAATATTTCCAGTTTGCGGCACCATTACAGAATTCCTGATAACAATTCGATTCAATCTTCAAATCTTCTTATTTAGGCAAGACTTTTTATTGCCAGTTGTCTTGTTCAAACATTGTCTTCGAGGCGATCAATGGAGAAAAAACTAGTGATTATTGGGTTTAGTTTATATTACAATGTGTGTAGTTAAACACATGGTGTGTTGCTTGACAGTAAAATGTGTCTGTCGATTATTTTTAAAATGTCTGATTTCTTTTCTCAAGTAAAAGGTGTCAAATCTTATGCTAAGTTATCAAAGTAAGAATGAATGTGTTTGACTGGAAAAAAAGGAAGAAACAACCAATTTTTACAAGGATAACATTCTGAGGTTCACAAGGATCCTGCCGATTAGTGATTTCTAGTCAAACCTCTTGACTATGTTCTTTTCTGGATTATCCCATTTACAGCTAGGAATAATTAGGAAAGATGACTTATTCAAGATCACTAGACTTTCATACACTGACTGAAATTAGAATCCATAACAACCATTGGTTCATCCTAGGACATCCTAGCACTAAGATCGTTTCGAGAATACATGGCCAGGCATAAAGTGGCGCTGTAGCCAGTTTCTCTACTTCAATCCATTGAGGCACATCATGTACTTGGCGCTTTGTTAACTCAAACCATGAAAATGGTGGTTTAGCTAGTTTACTTGAGAGACCCTGATTTATATTTTGACAGTTGTTAACTGATTGTGCTTCATTACCTTAAACAGTAATTATATATGGGGTAAAATCAGTCATGAAGAAAACTGAATGAAACGGAATATTAAAATAATATGACATAACGCATTAAGATCAGATCATTATAATGGGCGGACATGCAGTAGAGATTATAAAGATTGACCCTCACCCACCATTGTTTGTTGATAGAATCTAATAATTAAAATATTAAAGGGATAGTAAAAAGGTTTTCTAAAAAATATTATGTGTATCTTGGACACTGATAGCATTAATTTACACACTTCCAATTTTGGATCAGACATCTGTGGTTCCTGCAATTCTTCTAAGACTAAGTGTTTGGTGATGTTGCTAATTGCTAAGGCTCACCCCCCCCCCCTACTTTCACAATGTTATCCTTGTAAAAATTGGTTGTTTCTTCCTTTTTTTTCCAGTCAAACACATTCATTCTTACTTTGATAACTTAGCATAAGATTTGACACCTTTTACTTGAGAAAAGAAATCAGACATTTTAAAAATAATAGACAGACACATTTTAATGTCAAGCAACACACCATGTGTTTAACTACACACATTGTAATATAAACTAAACCCAATAATCACTAGTTTTTTCTCCATTGATCGCCTCGAAGACAATGTTTGAACAAGACAACTGGCAATAAAAAGTCTTGCCTAAATAAGAAGATTTGAAGATTGAATCGAATTGTTATCAGGAAATCTGTAATGGTGCCGCAAACTGGAAATATTTATAGATTGGAGATTTTGTGTGGATCAATATTAGGGAAATTGAAATTTCCCCCACAATGGGCATGCCTCAGGTGGTGTTAGGTATTACAGAAGATACTCTTCCTTATAAGCATTGGCCTGGGTCACAAATACTGGGTGTTATAGAAGATAGTTATTCTGCCCCTATCTCTTCGTTTATTTTAGCTATGTTGTTACAATCTTTAAGAAACATTAGATAAACATCATATCTATATCAAGCACACTTACTTACTTTGTTATGACTTTTTGGTTCACTTGCTCCAAGTTTTATTTTTGTCCATTATGAAATTTAACATTTTTTGTTACATAGTTACATATTTGCTGTGTGCATGTTAAAGGGATATTATAAATATTTGCTATGAGCAGTTGTCACTTCTACTGTTTTCTATATAATTGTACATAACCCAGACATCATTTTTCCATTCTGAAAAGTTAAACAGATAGCTGGAATGGAGCATTAATTGGTTAATTGAAAGCTTCTATTCAAAAGAAAAAGGATTTAAACTGTCTGGATTATGTTTTATAAGGTTTACTGCTGCAAGCTATTTACTTCTCAATCGTTCCTCTTTGAATCTTACAAAATATGATATGGAAATTTGACTCATGTTTTTTGAAAATATAGTAGTTGCTGTCCATGATCATAGAGATCTGGATTTTAACGCTTGGTGACTGGTATTAGAATTGTTATGTATTAAAACAGGCCAGTACTGTATACAGTGACTACATATAAGGTGTATAACTACTGTAAGCAACCCCTAACTCACTATAAATAGTTTTTACCCTATATAGTGGGAATATTGATCAGTATCTAGGATTGACTGGTATTAAAAGGGGTGTATATTAAAACAGATTGGTACTGTATGTAGTGACTAAGACATGATGTATATTATATGTGTAGGTATATAATGTTTATATCTCCTGTAAGCAAGCC